TGGTTAATGAGGACCGCAAAGGCCAGGAATGGCTCTCCCTCCTCGTCCCACCCAGAATAGGAACAGTCCATAGAGCGAAGCTCCAAGAGTGGTTCTGATGCGTCTAGTCCATTCTGGCATGATCACAGCAGGTCACTCCGTGGCTCTCTCAGAAATAGGTGTCTGTTGAGCTAAGTTTCCAACACTACTCCTGCCTTTGACTAATCAAGTCCTTGACCGTAACCCTTTCTCCTTCATGATTTCTGCACACACATCACTGCTCATGAACTTGGCACTCACTTCTCTGGTACAGCTTCTTTTGCCTTTGCAAGGAAAGTCCTCAAAGAAAATGTGGCATGTTCCTTGGTTGTCACTTTACCTGCTAGTCACGGTGCTCACCGCAGCATACTCCTACAAACTGCTGGCAGGCCTCGGCTGATGTTTCCTGGGCGAGGTGTCTCCTGTGATCCAGCTGTGCTGGAGGCAATAGGGCCACTCAGTGCACACTCACCTGAAACAAGGACGTTTAACTTGAAGGTTCATCAAGAAAGTGCTTATACCATAGCAACTGAGCAATGTGAGTGAAATTAGCTCACTACAATAGATCCAGAGCATTGTACACACTTTCATCTTTTCAAAAAACATTTGAAGGGCAGAATGACACACACACACACACAGAGAGAGGGAGGGAGGGAGGGAGAGAGAGAGAGACAGAGATCTTCCATCTAATGGTTCATTCCCCAAATGACTGCAACAGCCAGATCTGGACCAGACCAAAGCCAGAAGCCAGGAATTCCATGCAGGTCCCCATGTAGGTTACACAGTTCAAGGACTTGGTTCATCTTTTGCTGCCTTCCCAGGTGCTTTAGCAGGGAGCTAAATCAGAACCAGAGCAGCTGGGACGTGAACCGGCACTCCAATATGGGATGCCAGCGTGGCAAGAGGCAGCTTAACCTGCTGCTGCACCATGCCTCCCCACTTTCATCTTTTTTTTTTTTTTTTTTTTGACAGGCAGAGTGGACAGTGAGAGAGAGAGAGAGACAGAAAGGTCTCCCTTTTTGCCGTTGGTTCACCCTCCAATGGCCGCTGTGGCCGGCGCATCGCGCTGATCCAATGGCAGGAGCCAGGTGCTTCTCCTGGTCTCCCATGGGGTGCAGGGCCCAAGCACTTGGGCCATCCTCCACTGCACTCCCTGTCCACAGCAGAGAGCTGGCCTGGAAGAGGGGCAACCGGGACAGAATCCGGCGCCCCGACCGGGACTAGAACCTGGTGTACCAGCGCCACAAGGTGGAGAATTAGCCTAGTGAGCCGCGGCGCCGGCCCCACTTTCATCTTGATACCAAATGTAACATGGACCAGATCCTACATTCTATAGTCCTACTGGAAAGCAAGGTCCAATCCATACACATTAAGGAGAACATTAAATATTCTGAGATCATTACTTCATGGGTTCCCATCTGCCCACTCAGCGTCTGTAAACCGCTGTGTTGGGTCAGATAACTAATGTCATTAAAAGTTCTTTACCAGCTCCTGTTTGAGGAATACCCTAGCCTGAATTTATTTCACATTTCCCCCTCTTGTATAAAGTTGGTCATTTGACTATAAATTTACTGCAGATACTTTAGGCTTAGACATATTTCCCATAGTGAAAATTGTTTTATAAAATAAGAACTTTCCTAAGATTTCTTAACCTTGCATGCAATGTTTTGATCACCTCTATAAATTTTTCTATTATGTAGACATGCAATTGTTTGATCACCTCTATATAAATTTTTCTGTTATGTAGACATGGAAATGAAAAAATTAACTGAGCAATACATAGACTCTCAAATACAGACAGCGATTTTATTGTGCTTGCTTTGTACTTGGCTAAAATGTGAATGTTTAAAAAAGCACAATTCACAAAAGTTCCAGTCCACGTTCTTGTGTCAATTTCAACTAGGTAAGTTTTCATTTTAAAAGATTAAATTTTTATTGACTCATTTTTATTCATTTGAAAGCAGAACAACTGGGGGGGGGGGAGAGGGAGAGAATCGTCTAACTCCTGGCTCATTCTCCAAATGCCAACTGGGGCTAGGCAAGGCGGAAGTCAAGAGCCTGGAACTCCATTTGGGTCTCGCACGTGGACAGCAGGGACGTCACTACTTGAGCCATCATCTACTGCCTCCCACGTGCGTTAGCAGGAAGCTGGACTGGAAGTGGAGGGGAGACTCAGCCAGGCACGCTGATGCAGGATGCAGGCATCCTAAGCGACAACTTAACCTGATGAGCCACAATGTGTCACTTTCATTTACTTTAAGGTCTTAATAATTGAGTGTTGTATTGACCTCGCCGGCAGTCTGCCTTACAACTCTATTACATAGCCGGCGCCGCGGCTCACAGGCTAATCCTCTGCCTTGCAGCGCCGGCACACCGGGTTCTAGTCCCGGTCGGGGCGCCGGATTCTGTCCCAGTTGCCCCTCTTCCAGGCCAGCTCTCTGCTGTGGCCCGGGAGTGCAGTGGAGGATGGCCCAGGTGCTTGGGCCCTGCACCCCATGGGAGACCAGGAGAAGCACCTGGCTCCTGCCATCGGATCAGTGCGGTGCGCCAGCCGCAGCGGCCATTGGAGGGTGAACCAACGGCAAAGGAAGACCTTTCTCTCTGTCTCTCTCTCACTGTCCACTCTGCCTGTCCAAAAACAAACAAACAAACAAAAAAAACTCTATTACATCATTGCCCATTTTAACAGCCTCTGCTTGTTGGTATTCTTATGAATCTCCAAAATAGCATTTGCCTCTCCAAACAACAGTTGGACTCCTCACTGCTAGACTGCCTTTAATCTCTAAGCCGGCTCTTGGAAAAGGAGAATCAAGGCATCAGAGAGCGGCGTGGTTTTCTCTGGCACACATGTTCATGGAATCGCATGGCCGACACTCACACGTGCTCACTCAGAGGCTCGAATCACACATTTTGAGATGATGTCAGTTAACTGGAGATAAGACACATTACAGCAATGAGCACAAAACCTACGATTCTCAATAGCAGGGCAATGTTGACTGAAACAGAACAAATATGGAAAACCTGAGCATAGGTAGCAAAACACAGCCTCAGGTCTGCCTGGGCTCTTTGCTGAGAGAGGAGAGCACCAGATACCCACCAGGATCTCCTGTGGTATGCTTCAAACTTGACGAAGTCCTATCATTAACAAAGATTGAACAATGTCACCACTGTTGGTTACAACTGCAATGCCAATTTCTTAAACCTTTGAAGCAGACACAAATCTTTTACAACAGAGAAGTAGCAAAGGCATACAAGTGTAACACAACTAATAAAACACATTATGGCTGATTTTTCATTTTCTTCTACTTTTAGCACAATACAAAAAATGATGATCAAGAGGTTCTCTAACACACCAGATTCTTAACATTTTTCAACAGAAAAAATTTTTGAGTGACACAATGGTTTTTTTTTTTTTTAAGATTTATTTATTTGAAAGTCAGAATTACAGAAAGAGAGAAGGAGAAGCAGAGAAAGAGAGAGAGAGAGAGAGAGTGTGTGTGTCTTCCATCCACTGGTTCACTCCCCAGCTGGCTGCAAAGGCCAGAGCTGTGCTGATCTGGAGCCGGAGCCAGCAGCTTCCTCCAGGTCTCCCACATGGGTGCAGGTGCCCAAGGACTTGGACCATCTTCTACGCTTTCTCAGGTCATAGCAGAGAGCTGGATCGGAAGTGGAGCAACCGGGTCTTGAATTGGTGCCCACATGGGAAGCTGGCACTGCAAGCTGCAGTTTTACCTGGTACGCCACGGCGCTGGCCCCACTATGGGTTTTATAATGGAAAGATAGTGAAGGTGACCACTTAAAAACACATGCATACAGAGTACAATCATTTTTGAGAAGGTACTGGGATGGCACCAATTTGGAAGATTTTACACACTGTTTTGGACGGCTAGATGTTCAACAATGTTATTCAGCAAAACAGCTGGTGCAAATTCCCCGGATTTTCAAGTTTGGCTGGTGGTTCTCCTCCCTGTACAGTCAAGAGGACGGACTCTGGACTCAGCTTTAGACGCCCTCTCATTTTCTCATGTTTTGTTCAGGGGCTTTCACTCCAAGGAGTTACCAGTGAGGGAGAAATAATACTCCCATTTAGGCCTGCTTGACGCTAAGGAATGAGACCTTGATTTCAAAACATACTAAAACAGGCTGCTGCTTAAGAGATTTTTACCTTCTAAACAGAAGCGCCCTGTGAAAGCCTGAAATATTATTCAGACTTTCTAACAGTCTTAAGTACTAGTTAGAAGTTCAGGGTCACTCAGGGATCATGACCTTGAAGGTCAGTGTAGGATTCTCAGTATGTATGCTGGGAATCAGAAGTTTATATCCCATAGAGCTTTCCACAGGAAAAAGGCTGAGATCAGACAAATTTCATCAAACACATTTTGATATCATCTTCATTTTTCAAAAGAGATTTTTCTATTTGAAAGGCAAAGTTACAAAGAGGGAGGAAAAGAAAAATTGGGGGAGGAGGGTGAGAGATAGAGAGCTTCCAGATATCTGCTGGTTCACTCCCAAAATGGCCATAGCAACTAGGGCTGGGCCAGGCCAAAGCCAGGAGCCTGGAACTCCACCTGAGTCTCCCACGTGAGTGCAGAGGCCCAAGCACTTGGGCCATCTTTTGTTGCTTCCCCAGGTGCACTGCAGGGAGCTGGATCCGAAATGCAGCAGCTGGGCCTCGAGCCATCACTCAAGTGGGACGCCAGCATCGCAGCTGGCGTCCTAACCACTGCTCCGCAGCACTGGCCCCATCATCTTCATTTTCTACTGAGCCTTGAGAAGCACTCTGAATTCTGAACATGGTTTGGTTGGGGCTAGTATTAACGATACTAATTTCTGTGTCAACAAAAGGCTATCAAACAGAAATAAGCCAGTTCCTGCCAAGCAAGAGGCCAAGCCTCCTGATGTGAGACCAAAGACCTCTCTCTGTCACACGCACCTCCATCACTAAAAGCATGCATGGTTTCTTAAGAATATAGGCAACACAGTATGTTATATCTGTTTATTTTCCAGCTTATACAAACTGGATGTAGAAGCATAAACATAGTACATTTCTACCATCTTCAACAAAAATATAACCAATATGTACAATTATTGTATTAAAAATACAAAAGGGATACAGACTCCACCAATGTCTTTCTAAAAGACATACAGGTACAAGTAGTATCAAAAGTATGAGGAAATCACCAGTTAATTGTACATTCTGCACTTGACATCACAGAGCGAACTGAGATTAGCAGTCCTATGTTCTACGATTACTTAATGTTTAGATAACATTTGTGCAACTTGTGGTAGAGCTAGATTTTTGTCTTTCTATATGCACATGAGGTCCATAGCCTATATAATAAAACTGGCAAAGAATGCATATTACATGTAAAATTACAAATGCATAATTGACAATGTAATATATAAGCAAGTAGACAAATGCCATGATACAGGAGAGAAATATTAAATAAAGCACTGACATTGTTTGATACAGTGAAAAAACACTGCAATTCGACTTTTAAAATTTGAAGCTATTTACGTTTATCTACTGATCAATATGATCAGCTGAATTTAATGGAAAAAAAATCCAAGACCAGCAGCTCCTCACATTTGAGTACTACTCGGATTGGCAGCCTTCGCATTTCCGGAGTCTGTGCAAAAACAACACAAAAACAGAGTGGAGGGGTCATTTCAGTCCGTACGGGGTTAATAGCAGCTGTGAGCAGACGGGTGCTACACGTAGACCTTCTCCACACGCTCTGTCCGTAAAGCCACTTCATGGGTAGTCTCTGATGACTAACCTGCCTTGCGAAGGCTGGCAAGTCTAACCAGGTTTCTGATCTTTTATACCACGTTTAAAGGCTTGTTTATTCCCTAATGCCAATTCGGTAAAGGGAAGCTGTCTTGAAAGAGCAGTATTAACAGCTGGCATTAGCTCCAACACCCCAAGCTGCTTTCACTGCAATGCTATCCAGTTATAACTGTTTCTCTTAAAAAAAGAAAAAAAAAGAAAAAAACCCTAAAATTCTCAATTAACAAAAATCTAAGAAACATAACTTAAATGCTGGGGTTTGCCATCTGTCTCAGTGGAGCAGGACACACCCTCAGATGACACTGTCCTGCCTCCGTAAGGCTCAAGAGGACGCAGGAGTCCCACTTCTCTCCCCTGGCCATGTGCAAACAGTTCTACAGAAGACCCCACCAACTGGGGAAGGGGTGGCGGCAGAGGCGTCTCGGCATGGAAGGAATTGGCCAATGTTTTAAACTTCCGGATAGGGCACTTCGCAGGTGAGGCCACAAGGACGTGGGAAGAGAGGGCTGTGAGCCCAGCCGTCCCCTTTTCTTGGTGTGGCCACACCGTGTCCGGCATATTTGGTTTTGCAGAAACCCAGGCTGGCAACCCTATTTAAGGATCAAAATAATACTGTAATCAATAAATGGATATAACATTTACTCTCTGAACACAATCTTTAAACTCATTAAAAATAAAAATAAAAAATAAAAGACATTGTAAACAAGTGGACAAGCACTGTACTCAAAGGATTTCTTGTTTCTCTTTGTCTTCCTTGGTGGGTTCAAGGCCCCAAGTAGTTCAATGGCTAGCTTTTCTCATTATCCCAATGAGACCAAGTGCTGGGACTGGATTGAAATCTATAAGGAAGATTTAAAAAAAAAAAAAAAAAAAATCCTTGCAGGCATTGAGAAGTGCAGCCAGAGTGAATCGTCTTGTCGCGGTGATCGTGGAATCTGGAATGACACTGTGTGACGTGGCAGGCAGCAGCAGTGGGCGCTCAGAGACTGCTGCACTGTGCATTTCAAGCAACAAAGTCTGCAAAGTGCCAGGGCAATTTCTTCACAGTATTTCACATGCAAAGGGGACGGGAAGAAGGGAGAAGAAGCCCCATGCTGCGTTAAGGCAGGGAAGGAGGCAAACTGGTCCACCACCCGCAGAATGCGAGTTCCAAGGCTCCGACGGGAGGGGCGTCTCTTGTGCTCTCCTTGTGGGTGGCTCACGCTGGATCCAGAAACGCCTGTGCCTCAGACAGCAGAGACCTGCTCATCTTCTGCAAACACGGCAGGGAAGAGAAAAAAAAGAATCGGTGAGCAAGCAAGCACTTTCTGGCCCTGCAGGTAATGCGTTCACTGACACGCTAAGTGGAGAAGTCACGGCTCCGCTTTCCAGTGTAACTCCGGTAGGATCCTTGTCTTGTTGTGGGGCAATGACTAATGCATCTAAGAAGTTTAAAACTGTACATGTGATGCATATCTTTAAACATGTACACCACACAAGAGGTACTGACACTTTTCTATTCATTGGTCAGAAAGTTATTAGCGACAAATTCATAAGATGCATATGCCACTTTTTAAATAATATAGTCATATATATATTAAACAGTCTAGAAGGATATATAAAAATGCTAACAGTGGTTGTCTGCAAGTGGTAGATTATAAGTAATTTTTATGTAATTAGTGTAAGTAATTACTATGTCTTGCTTTTTTCTACAATGGTTGTGTACTAAAATCTAAAACCACAGAGGAAGCGGGGGTGCATGACGCCCCTCCTCATCCTTAACCCATTATGTCGAGGTGGATTTGCAAAAAGAAGCTAAAAAGTTTGACCCCTCTGAAATCTTTGGCCTTTCTTAAGCCATTTAGAAAAGAAAACCAAAACGACCAACATGACAAAGTCAGAAGCTTTAACCCTGGCCCAGAACCCGGACTCCCGTGCTGCGTGGGCAGCGGTCAGCCGACCCGTGCTAAGAAAGCAGCAATGCCCTGGGGACCCGTGGGCAGCCTCGGTGGCCGTGTGGAACCCAGGGCTTCAAGGACGCAGTACCTACCGTCCTCCTCGGTGGAAAACCCTGGGGACTGGTAGGGGGCAAGGCGCGGGTCCGACTCGTTGGGCTTGTGCCACTGAGGTTTGCTTGCAGGCCTGCTGCCCGCTGCGTGCCCAGGCGGCTGCTGAACCGGGGAAGGCCCAGCCGCATCCGAGGATCGGGCCACCATCCGGGACCTCTGAAGGGCCACGTTGTAGTCCGGGGGCTTCCTGGCTGGATGGGGGTGTCCTTCTGGAAAGTCCGTGATGGGAATTCCGATGTAGCCTGGAGGGGTGGGTGGGGGCTCTCGATACCTGCCCTCCTTCCGCGCTACAGTGGAGACAACGTACCAGCCGTTAGCCACTCTGAGAAGAGTATCTCATACTGCAAATACTTACTGAAGTGTTTTTCACATTTCTGAGACAGAATACGCAGCCCAGTAGCCAATGTGCTTTTGTCTGATAAGGCGAAGCTATTAAGCAATGTAAGTATCTTCACTTTCGGAAATTTCATTTTTATTTATTTGAAAGGCAGAGCGGAGAGAAGAGAGAAACTGAGAAAGGAGAGAGAGCAGGAGAGAAACAGCAGTATCTTCATTCTCTGGGGCTGGGTCAGGCTGAGGCCAGGAGCTGGGACATCTATCCAGGTCTCCCACGCTGTGGCTGGGCCCAAGCACCAGGCAGCTATCACGTGCTGCCTCTGAGTGTGCTGGACCGGAAGCAGAGGCAGGATTTGATCCCAGGCACTCGCGTACGGGATGCGGGCATCCACAGGAGTGGCTTAACTCAATGAGCCAAATACCCATCCCCAGTACCTTTAACTTTAAAGGGGTTACTTCAAACCTTGTTTATGACTATAGGATAGTCATACGGTTAACACTTAACCTTTGGATTTATTGGAAAGATTAATGCAGAGCAGTAACATAACAAGTACCTAATACCATGCCTGGAACACGCAAGCACTTACGTTCCCTTTCCCGGGCCCTACTTGCCATCGTCATGGGGCTCTTGCCCCTGTCAGTTAGAGAATCAACTCCACGTGACTTTCAGATCTTTGGACTTCACCTTGAAAACTAGTACGTTAAAATAAATTTGGAAAAGTAGTCGCCAAAAAGGGTAGCAACTTAAAAACCTTAATACTACACAGTATTAATATTTCTGAAAATCCTTTTATTTTGTATAATGTAAATATACATTTTTAAATATCTGTTTTAATTTTTATTCAAGATCTCCCATCTACTGGTTCACTCCCAAAATGCCCACTATAGCCAGGGCTGGGGCTGGGGCTGGAGCCAGGAGCCAGGAACTCAACCCAGGTTTCTTCTGAAGGTGGCAGCGAGCCAACTACCTGAGCCATTATCTGCTGCTTCCCGACATGTGCGCTGGCAGAAAGGTTAGGGGCCGGAGCCAGGGATCAAACCCAGGCACTCCGACATGGGACACAGAGGTCTCTACTGCTGGGCCAAGTGTCTGGCCTTTTAAAAAACTCTTTAGTACTAGTGTACATGATCTAGGACATGGAATCTGTAAGAGCAAGTAAAAAATCAGGTTTTAGTTTCTTTAACTGTCTAGATTTAACTGTTAGGAGCTATGCATTGTTATTCATTTCTTGGCAATAGAAATCCTGATGATTAGTTAAAAGAAAGCACAAGAAAAAGTTGAGTTAAAAATATGCATCACCCAGGGCTGGCACCGTGGTGCAGTAGGTTAATCCTCTGCCTGTGGCGCCAGCATCCCATGTGGGCGCCAGTTCTAGTCCTGGCTGCTCCTCTTCCGATCCAGCTCTCTGCTATGGCCTGGGAAAGCAGCTGAAGATGATCCAAGTGCTTGGGGCCCTGTACCTATGTGGGAGACCCGGAAGAAGCTCCTGGCTCCTGGTTTTGGATCAGCCCAGCTCCAGCTGTTATGGCCATTTGGGGAGTGAACCAGCAGATGGAAGACCTTTCTGTCTCTCTCTCTCTCTGTCTGTAACTCTACCTCTCAAATAAATAAATAAAATTAAAAAAAAATGCATAACTGTGATCTCCTTCTTCCTCTTAAGATGATATTAAGCTTGACACCCTCTCAAGATTACTTATGACTACAATTTCTCTATTAATAAATAGTGACATTTGCAATAGTTAAGACTCCAGAATTTTTTTTTTTAATTTGAACGTCAAAGTTATAGAGAGACAGAGACAGATAGACAGAGATCTTCCATCAGTTGGTTCACTCCCCAAACAGCTGCAGTGGCCAGGGGTGGTCCATGCCAAAGCCAGGAGCCAGGAGCTTCTTCCTGGCCTCCCAGGTGGCTGGCAGGGGCCCAAGCACTTAAGCCAACTTTCATTGCTTTCCTAAGCCATTAGCAGGGAGCTGGATGGGAAGCTGAGCAGCTGGGACACAAACTGACACCCATATGGAATGCCAGCGTCGCAGGAGGCAGCTTTACCTGCTACACCACAACATCGGTTCCCAGAATTTCTTACTCTACATCGTACAATCTATTCCTACACTTTGCTTAAACAGACATTAAATATGCCATAGAAAATACCTATTTTCCATACCCTTTAGGGAACACAGACGCCTTTACTCTGGGGACAGCAGCAGCACCTGCCCCGTTTTGGGAATCTGCCACCTGGGCAGACTCAGCGCTCTGCACAGCTCTCCTGTCCTCCTCACGCCCCGCGCTAACCCCGTGAAAGAAAACTGCTTAAGATCACTTCACAGATGAGGAGTCAGGCACGGTTTCCTGCTCTGCCGAATGTCACCACGCCAGTGTGCCTGGCTCCTAGCCCAGGCTCTCCTCACCACACTACCAATCACATCAGCAGCTCCAGGGCCTGCAGAAACTGTTCAGCACAGAAACAAATTTTCTGCGTAACAGAACCCACTGGAAGATGTTCAAGGATTTCTAAATCCAACTCAAGGTAACAAAGTAACATTTAAAACAGTCCCATCCAAAGAAAAGCTCTTCCTCTCTGAAGAATGGGAACTGTCCCGGTCATTTTCAGAGCACAAGGAAAAAGAGCAGACCGGACCCCGACCACTCGGACGGTCTACGGATTGACTGCTTTCTTGACCTGGAGTCCATCAGGGATCTTAATCATGACTCGCTCCAAAATGTACACAGCGCTAGCTTGGAAGCCCTGCACAGCAATGGGCGAAACAAAGCAAAGAACCACAGACACACAGTTTCCTCTTGGAACAAGTCAGTCACCACTCGGTAGCTTTTAAACTCACCAATGAGCCCCTTGGCCGTGCTCGACGTCGCGGCTATGTGGGCAGGCACGGGGACGGGCTTGGTGTCCTCCGCGGTCACCGGAGCCACGCTGCTGCTCTCCGCTTCCATGGAAACATCTTTCCCGCCCCGCCGCTTGATTGTGCCCGTGTCCCCTTCCGAGTCCTCTCCCCAGTAACCTGTGGATGACGCCCAGCTGGCCCGGGACTGGGCTTGCTCCAGACTCTCTCTGCTTTGATTCTGCCTGTTATACTTGGTGCTATGATCAGAAAACATCATTTGGTCCATATGGCTGCTTGAGGCCCATAAGCCCGCAGGGTCCCCTGAATAATCAAAGTGGGTGTGCCCGAATGGCAGCGTCTCCCAGCTTCTCTGGTGCTGGATGGTCTGTATGTTGTCGTGGGAACCACTAGAGCAGGACGTCCAGCTCCCACGGCCGCTGTCGGCAGCGTCGAGGGAGGCGCGGTCCCCTTGATCTTGGGAAAGTTCCTCTGTGCTGGGAGAAGAGATCACCGTGGCCGTGGCATACAATCCTCGACTCTCAGACATCGCTGCGTAGGACCTAAGTGGTCAAAAGAAAATGAAACAAAAGTGAAATGAAAAAGCAAACTGTTTAAATATACCTGTTTTCTCACCTTGCCATGACTATGGAGACACTGACTTGTATAAAGACAGGGACATTTTCCCTACAAGGCTGAGGATGGCTCAATGCAATCTCATTGTTCCAGGAAGGCAACTGACACCAAGCAGCTGTGGTACAGGTACAGTCACACTTCAGCACGGAACAGCTGTGTTTCAATAAAGGGAAACCTAGCAGGGGGAAAAAGTCCACACAACAAAAACATGGCCGGTGCCGCTGTAGCTCACTAGGCTAATCCTCCGCCTTGTGGTGCTGGCACACTGGGTTCTAGTCCTGGTCGGGGCGCCGGATTCTGTCCCGGTTGCCCCTCTTCCAGGCCAGCTCTCTGCTGTGGCCAGGGAGTGCAGTGGAGGATGGCCCAAGTGCTTGGACCCTGCACCCCATGGGAGACCAGGAGAAGCACCTGGCTCCTGGCTTTGGATCAGCGCGGTGCACCGGCCGTCGCGGCCACTGGGGGGATGAACCAACAAAAAAGGAAGACCTTTCTCTCTGTCTCTCTCTCTCACTGTCCACTCTGCCTGTCAAAAAAACAACAACAACAAAAAAAACACAGCCTTGTGCTCGCAATCCAGGAAATCTGAAAATGCCATCGGGGTGGGAGGAAATTCTCCTCTTTCTAAAGATCCATTTATTTGTTTGAAAGGCAGAGTGATGGAGAGAGAGAGGCAGAGAGAGACACGGGAGCGATCTTCCACCAGCTGTTCTGCTCCCTACAGAGCTGCAAAGACCAGGGCTGGTCCAGATCTCCCATGTGGGTGGCAGGGGCCCAAGCACTTGGACCATCATCTGCAGCCTTCCAAGACTCATTAGCCAGACGCTGGACTGATAATTGAGCAAACGGGACTTGAACTGCACTCTGATACGGATGCTAGCATCACAGGACGCAACTTAACCTGCTGTCCTACAGTGCCAACCTCAAGAGGTAATTTCTTAGGCACTGTGTAAAATAAACACAAATACGTGGGGCAGGCATTTAGTTTAGCAGTGAAGCAGTGAGTAAGATGCCCACATCTTATATTGTACTGCCTGCGTTTGAGTACCAGATCCACTCCTGATTCCAGCTTCCTGCTAATGCGTGCCTAGGAAGCAGCAGGTGATAGCTACAGTAGTTGGGTTCTGACCCCCATGTGAGAAATCTGGACTGAGTCCCGGGCTCCCAGTCTCAGCCCAGCCCAACCGTAACTGTGTCAGGCACTGAGGAAGAGAATGAACGTATCAAAGTATCTGTTTGTCTCCCTGGGCCTCTGAAATACATAAATAAATAGAAATGTTAAGGGGAAAGGATTCATTATTAAAACAGACATGAAAGCAGAGAGCGTGGAGGAAAGCCGCCTACCCCAGGCTGTACTGGTCGGGTTCAGTCATGGCCCGCCGCTCCATCCTGCCCACACCTAGGCTTGTCTCCACGATGCTGACAGAATGTCTCTGGCGCCGCTCCTCGTGCAGCGAGACTGGCACAGAGTCAAAAGAAGAATTGCTGACGATACTGGAGCGCGAGGAGATTTCACTGTGGCCAGAGTCCGAAAAGTTATCCACAGTTCCACTGGGAGCCAAGGTATAGCCTGGACGAGAAGTGGAACCATGCCAGTTAGACACACAGAGTTACAGCATAAAAACTGCAGTCCACCAGACAGAAGCAGAAAGGAGCTGTGGGCACAGAGACGGCCGCTGAAGTAGGAGTTCACAACACTGTGTTCCTGGAGGAGACAGGTGACTAAGAGACAAGGTAATGCTTGCTGGAACATAGCTAAGCTGCTTAATCAATGGTTAGAGGGGGAGAATAAAGCATTGTTTACAAACTAGGAGAAGACACAGAAAGTACAGAGCCACATGACTATTCTCAGTCCCTTAGCGTTATATTACACTGATTGGGCTACATAAACGAAGCCATGATTTAAAAGTCAGATTTAAAAGCACATTTTTTTTTTTTTCAAACTGGAAGGTCAATAATCTTATTTCCAACCGAGTTTTTAATTTTTAGAATTTTAACTATGGTACAGAATAATTCAACTGAAAATATGTGCATCCTACTTAAAATTGTAAGCAGACATTATAAATAAAGACTAAGAGACAACACCCAAAGAAGACATCTCTGGATTTGTGCCACTCCGTTTTAATAATGCATTAGTGGAATCATATAAAAGCCCATTGTTCTGGAGGATGGGATGTGCATTTTCTCTAGGCGATCACTATAAAAATGTCTATTTCCTGCCCTGAAAGGACCCTTAATTCTCCTTTCTACTGAAAATAATTTTGAAAGTCATAAAGAAAGAGGCTTGTTTTGATGCTTTGAATGTAAAAATCCAAAACTTTGTTCTTGGCACTTACATTTGTTCTTTTTTACAACAGTACTAAGGATCTCACATTAGTTCAATACTGATCTTACATGATGACACGCAATGTGAATTTTATCAGTGTCACTTACACACACACACACACACACCAAAAAAAACCTGGACCATCTCAGTCTTCTGAATCTTTCAGCAAATTGGTAGCTCCTGATTTATTTCTTTCAAGGGTACACAGGTCTTGATAAAGTTGCATGTGTGCGCCTACACAACGTGTTTTTATAAAGTCACACTGAAAGTTATGACAGACAAGGTGTAAGGCCTTCCCTGAATAGTGTGCTAAAAACGGAATCTCAGGTGGAGTGCTTGACATTGTAGGAATTCCCCATCTTCTGGAACCAGTGATAGACTCCTCTCTTTCCCACCTGTTTCTGGTTCTATCACCCCCACCTATCCCACAGGCCCACTGTTATTGTTAATGGAGCGTTGTTACTCTTGTAACCGTTTTCACTGCTAAGAGAAGAGGAGGACCTGGTTAAGTCCAACCTCCTGGAACCAGAAGATCTCAGCTGACTGCCGCTGCACTTGACAACAGGATGAGAAAATAGCTGAGCGACACCCACTGAGCCAGGGCCGGGCCGGGGCCGGGGCCGGTACCCACAACAGGATGAGAAAATAGCTGAGTGACATCCACTGAGCCAGGGCCGGGCCGGGATCCGCACGGCACCTGCAGGGGTCGGAAACAGCCACAGCACAGCAGGATTTGCTCTGCCAGGGAAATCTCACAATTTGCTAACCTTTTTGGCCTTTCCCTGGGGAAAATCAATCCTAGCCATTTATTACTGACTTATACCCATTCAAGTAAAGGTTAGGAGGAGGTGGTAACCTGGAGAGAGATGTAGCAGAAAACTGGCTACCATTTTTCTTTCTTTCTTTTTTTTTTTTTTTGACAGGCAGAGTAGACAGTGAGAGAGAGAGAGAAAGAGAGAAAGGTCTTCCTTTGCCGTTGGTTCACCCTCCAATGGCCGCCGCGGCCGGCGCACCACGCTGATCCGGTGGCAGGAGCCAGGTGCTTTTCCTGGTCTCCCATGGGGTGCAGGGCCCAAGCACTTGGGCCATCCTCCACTGCACTCCCTGGTCACAGCAGAGGGCTGGCCTGGAAGAGGAGCAACCGGGACAGAATCCGGCGCCCCGACCAGGACTAGAACCCGGTGTGCCGGCGCCACTAGGTGGAGGATTAGCCTAGTGAGCCGCGTGTCTGGCTACCATTTTAATATGAGAAAGTATCAACCTAAGGAGATGCAGTCTCTTTGAAATACGACAGCAACAAAAAGGTATCAAGACCTGTGTTAGTATATGAAGAAATAAATCAGGAATATATTAGTTTTCTAAAGGTCTTTACAGCTCTTTTTACCCAATATTAGTGCTCTATAAAAATATTAGAGAACATTTTAATAGACAAAGAGTTTCTTTTCCAAGTTACAATCAATAAAATAAATTTAAATGTATTTTAAAAGCTTTGACACTACTGTAAATATTAAAAAATAGATGTCAAAATCCTTTTAAATTTATTAAATGAGACAAATCCATTGAACCTTACAAACTGATGTTTAATGACTAAGGTTAAAAATTAAGGAGTACATAATTCTGGAATTCATGCTAGCTGAAAGGCAGACGTTTTGACCAGAGCAAACAAGCAACTTCGCGGTACCTTTCCTGGGAGAGCTCTGGGGCGACGTGGGTGGAGAAGAGAGCTGGGAAGACGCGTTTGATATCGTATCCTCAGCCTGTTTCTTGTGACGCTCTAAACTTCCTTCTTCAGACAAAGAGAGAATTTTCTTTAAAGCTTGTGGAGAGTTTATGCCTGGAAAAGGAAGAAATGGCTAAAATATATCTCTTCAAGACTGAAAGAAATAACACTGATGACCGAAAAACTGTGTATTAACATTTCCTATCGTATTAGGTCTCCGCCGGTTTCCAATCTAACTGCTCTGTGTACTCTTCATCGATACCTGTTGCTCTGTTTCTCACTGGCATCTGCCAGAGGACAAAACACGGGCGCTTTTGATGTTTACTTTAGATTCTGAGCTTTAAAGTGGTTTTTTTATCCAAAAAATGGCAGGCCACAATGAGGAAAAAGTAGATGACTTATCAACATTTAAATTTGGGCTCAGAGTGGCACAGCTAAGAATATTTATTATCAGAAGAAACAGCTATTTTGGTACTGCTGGAGACCTTAATTCAAGGGAGGGAGGAGAAGAGTGAAGGACCAAGAGCTACTGAGAACTTCCTAGGAAAACTGACTAAAAGAGCCCGCGTGAGTTCCAAATAAATAGATGAAAGAGAAGGCGGGAGCGCTGTGGGCGTGCTGTATCACAGAAACCACAAGTGTCCAGAGAAGGGAGTGAGCCGATGCCAAGTGCACAACCCAACAGGAAGAGGATGGAGGGAAAGGAACTACAAGTGAAATAAGGAAATCTTCCCCAACACGTATTTTTCAGAAATGAAGATTCTGGGGGCTGGTGTTGTGGCACACGAGATAAAGCCAACACCCACTATGCCGACATCCCATATGGGCGACAGTTCGAGTCCCAGCTGCTCCACTTCTGATCCAGCTCCTTGCTAATGCACTTGGGAAGGCACAGAAAAATGGCCCAAGTCCTTGGGCCCCTGCACCCATGTGGGAGACCCAGAAGAAGCTCCAGACTCCTGGTTTTGGACCCGCCCAGCTCTGGCTGTTGTGACCATTTGGGGAATGAACCAGTGGATGGAAGATCTCTTTCTCTGTATCTCTCTGTATCTGTGTGTCTGTGTGTGTGTGTGTGTGTGTAACTCTACCTTTCAAATTAATAAAATTAAACTTTTTTAAAAAAAGAAAAGATTTCATATCAAAATATTTTACAAAGCTTCTCATATTGTTATGACACACTCTCAACTACTTGTTTTGAAGATCAAAGAGATATGAGGGAAGGAAGGCGCTACAACCTCACACTAATTCAAATCAGTGCTAGTCACTGATGGTCACTTAGCAGAATCCATTAAAGAGGAGTCAATGAAATCCAACATAGATTTAGTCCTTCATTTTACCTCATGTAAGTGCTTTGGTATTGTTTTAACATAACTTTTTAAAGTCATTTTTAAAGTAATACAATAATTAAATGTAGAAATACTAATATACACAGTAAAATGAAAATACAGCTGCATTAGAGTCACATGAATGGTTTTGACTTGGAAAAAAATTTCCAAGGTGAGCATCACATAAAGATTCAAAAAAGTTCTGCCTTTTAAACAATGTAGATGGATGTGAAGATTATACTAGAAAATTGCTAAATACTTCAAAAGTAGTTTTAGAAATGATAAAGACATTGATATAAAACATATAAAGTGCTTTGAACAAAATTATTTCATGAATTACAGTGTGTGGGGGGACGAACTTAAGCATCTATAAAGTGATATATAATGTGACTTTAAATATAGTCTTAAATTGAATAAACATCATAAGACAACACATGGTACCATTTCTCTAGGGCAATGCCTGCCTGAGACCGTCAAAATTTCTATTCTAACAATGCTTCCTTTTTGAGAACAGGATGCCCTGTGGTTAGAGGTTCTTCCTCAGGCTGTCCGGCCAGAACAAGCTGGATCCAAGATGGCCATCTCAGTGACCTCCAGTTGACCTCAAAATGCATTTTAATATAATTTCCAAGCTAAATGAAACACCTAATGACCACTAAGACAGGGAAGAGTGGACCACAAAGGAAGAAAAAGAGGTGGCATGCAAGTTAAGTGAAATCCCCACCTATTCCAAGAGGAAAATAAAAAGAGTATTCTTGGCCGGCGCTGTGGCTCACTAGGCTAATCCTCCACCTTGCGGCGCCGGCACACCGGGTTCTAGTCCTGGTCGGGGCGCCGGATTCTGTCCTGGTTGCCCCTCTTCCAGGCCAGCTCTCTGCTGTGGCCAGGGAGTGCAGTGGAGGATGGCCCAGGTGCTTGGGCCCTGCACCTCATGGGAGACCAGGAGAAGCACCTGGCTCCTGCCATTGGATCAGCGCAGTGCACCAGCCGTGGCGGCCATTGGAGGGTGAACCAACGGCAAAAAGGAAGACCTTTCTCTCTGTCTCTGTCTCTGTCTCTCACTGTCCACTCTGCCTGTCCAAAAGAAAAAAAAGAATGTTCCTCTCGTTCATTAGCATGCCTGATCCTTACTCACCTTGCCCTGTATCTAGGACTCCTGAGCCCTCAGCAACTTGAGAAGATGGTTTGAGAGCAAGGCTCGTGCTTTTTCCATTCTGTGGCCATTGAACAAACTTACACTCCTGATGCTCAAATTTTGGTTTCACTATTCAAGGAGGGCGGGCGACCAGCATTATGTTGGTAACAGATTTGGCGACCACAGAGGGGCTTATCACCATCTTCCTGTTAGGGAAAGTTGCATTTAACCTCCCCACTCCATTACTGGAGACGCCTGAAGTCGCCTGGGACTTTCAGATGTATTTACTGGGCTAACTTGGAGGTCGCGTCTTTAACGATTCAATGACTCTCAACAGCGGGAAGGGTTTGGATTGAGGAAAGCACACCCTGGGATAAACAGGCTGGTGGTGTCTGCCCCAAAACGAGGGTCATGCATGGGGGTCTTGGCACCAGGTCATGATCCCACCTCGATTAAAGGTTCCGACTCCAAGCTCCTGAGAAGGTGGGTGAGGGACGGCATCCCTCCCTGGAAAGCGAGTGGCCTGGAAGTGACTGCAGCCTCCTGGTAAGATCATCCGTTAGTCACACACCTGTCTTTCACTGCGCTTCCTCCTGCACAAGTTTTTCTAACTTGAGTCCTTCTCACGTCCTGGCTCCCTTTCGACCTCAGCGGCTGCCCTCGGGAAGGTTTCCCTCCCACCTTCCCCTCCCTCACACGTGGGCAGCTGACTTGCAGACTCCAGCTTTCTCTGTCTCATTCCTGGACCGAGAACTTGCTCTCGCTCCTTTTAATGTACAGGGACTGCCCCCTTCTTGGGTGACCTCCCTCATCTCAAAGGTACTCTCCAGGAAAGAGCGGGTAATCTTATCATTTTCAAGAACTGAGTAGGCAAGGCCTTAAACACCCACTTTCCTGATGTTTTCAGGCTCTTTATCTTTAAAAGGGATGCCCCAACTTTTCCTTACTCTACCTCCACTTCCTCAGGGCCCTTACCTCTCTCATCAGTCAAGAACTCGTTGGCTAGCCTCTTTCCCTCTTCCCTTTAACCTTCTTTCTATTCCTTCTTACTTCCTCTGTTGAGGTTCCTCTGATAGGTTCTTCATAGGAATCCATAGGATTCCCGGAACCCAAGATACTATCTTTTTATTTATTTATTTATTTGACAGGTAGAGTTATAGACAATGAAAGAGAGAGACAGAGAGAAAGGTCTTCCCTCCATTGGTTCTCTCCCCAAATGGCCACCACAGCCAGTGCTGCGTGGATCCGAAGGCAGGAGCCAGGTGCTTCCTCCTGGTCTCCCATGTGGGTGCAGGGCCCAAGCACTTGGGCCATCCTCCACTGCCTTCCCAGACCACAGCAGAGAGCTGGCCTGGAAGAGGAGCAGCCGGAATATAAAGCAGCAGGTGCCACAGGCATAGGCTTAGCCTATGCCACAGCACTGGCCCCAGAGCGTTTTCTTTTTTTAAACTTTTTTTTTGTTTGTGAACAAATTTCACGTATTTCATATATACAGATTTTTTTTTATCTTTTATTTTTTTATTTATTTATTTTTTTTATTTTTGACAGGCAGAGTGGACAGTGAGAGAGAGAGACAGAGAGAAAGGTCTTCCTTTGCCGTTGGTTCACCCTCCAATGGCCGCCGCGGCCAGCGCGCTGCGGCCAGCGCACCGCGCTGATCCGATGGCAGGAGCCAGGAGCCAGGTGCTTTTCCTGGTCTCCCATGGGGTGCAGGGCCCAAGCACCTGGGCCATCCTCCACTGCACTCCCTGGCCACAGCAGAGGGCTGGCTTGGAAGAGGGACAACCGGGACAGAATCCGGCGCCCCGACCAGGACTAGAACCCGGTGTGCCGGCGCCGCTAGGCGGAGGATTAGCCTAGTGAGCCGCGGCGCCGGCCCATATATACAGATTTAATGATTCTTCCCAACCTATCCTTCCTCCTCCACACACTTCCACCATCTTTCTTCCATCCTATGTTTTAATATTTATAATGACATACTTTCAATTTACTTTGTAATCACAAGCTTAACCCTCCACCAAATAAAAAATTCAAAAATAGTAAGTAGAAAAATCACTGTTCTTCAAGATTATAGATGACAGCTGTAAACAATAATCAAATCTCAAAATGTCCATTTTGCTCACACAGCTTTTTTGTGCTCTGTGTATTAATTACCACAAATCAGGGAAAACACAATATTTGCCTTTCAGGCACTGGCTTATTTCATTGAGCATAATGGTTTCCAGTTGCATCCATTTTGTTGCAAAAGACGGGATTTCATTCATTATTCATTATTTTTTTTTACAGCTGCGTACTATTCCATAGTGTATATATACCGAATTGTCTTTATCTGGTCTTCAGTTGATGCACATCTGAGTTGATTCCATATCTTAGCTATTGTGCACTGAGAATTGAGAGGCAATAAACACGGAGTACAAATAACTCTTTTGCATGGTGATTTCATTTCCTTTGGGCAAATTCCCAGGAGTGGATACGGCTGGGAACATGGTGGATCTGTTTCAGATTTCTGAGGAACCTTCATGCTGTCTTCTATATGGTGGCACTAGTTTACATTCCCACCAACAGTGCACTTGGGTGCCTTTTCTCAGCCATCCTTACCAGCATTTATTGGTGTTTTTTTTTTTTTTTTGGATGCTAGACATTTTTTTTTTTTGACAGGCAGAGTGGACAGTGAGAGAGAGAGAGAGAGAGAAAGGTCTTCCTTTGCCGTTGGTTCACCCTCCAATGGCCGCTCCAATGGCACCCTGCTGATCCGATGGCAGGAGCTAGGTGCTTCTCCTGGTCTCCCATGGGGTGCAGGGCCCAAGTACTTGGGCCATCCTCCACTGCACTCCCGGGCCACAGCAGAGAGCTGGCCTGGAAGAGGGGCAACCAGGACAGAATCCGCACCCCGACCGGGACTAGAACCCAGTGTGCCGGCGCCGCTAGGTGGAGGATTAGCCTAGTGAGCCGTGGTGCCAGCCCCAGCACCATTTGTTGAAGAGACTGTCCTTGCTCCAAGGATTGACTGTAGCCCCTTTGTCAAAGACTAGTGGATTACAGATGTGCAGATTAATTTCTGGGGTTTCTGTTCTGATGCCAATGCCAGGCTGTTTTGATTCTAACTGCCCTGTAGTATGTTTTGAAATCTGGGATTGTGATGCCTCTGGCTTTGTTTTTGTTGTTTAAGACTGCTTTAGCGATTCAGGGTCTTTTGTGTTTCCATATGGATTTTAGCACTGTTCTTTCTAGATCTGAGAAGAACGTCTTTGGTATTTTGATAGGAATTGCACTGAATGTGTAAATTTCTTTGGGTAGTATGCACATTTTGAAGATATTAATTCTTCCAATCCACGAATTTGAAAGATTTTTACATTTTTTTGGTCTCCTCCTATTTTTTTCTTCAATGTTTTGTAATTATCATTGTAGGGATCTTTCACCTCCTTGGTTCAATTTATTACAAAGTCTTTAGATATTTTTGTAGTGATTGTGAGTGGGACTGATCTCACAAGTTCTCTCTCAGTCACAGCATTAAGATCAGATCTTACCTAACTTTGGGGCAGCTGTATGTCTACAGATAAACCCTCAATATTGAGGTTCCCAAGGAAGAGTGATCCTTGTCAGCCTTGGCCTTCCCAGCCCTGATCGAGAGGACCAAATCAAAAAGTAGACTTCTTGGGTCGTTAACAAAAGCAGGGAGGGCCAAGACAGTCCCAACCCCTAACTGCCCAGTCCAGATAAAAATAAAGCCAGGGTATGAGAATACCAACGAAAAACACTCTTCTCTCCATCTGCACGGTGGTACATGAACTTAGCCTATTGTGGATGATCTACTGGGGCAAAGGTTGCTCTGACCACGTTAGTCTCCCTGTAATACCCTCCTCATTCTTCCTGTGATGAATCGACAAGGCAAACACCGACTACCATAGGACCTGGGACAGTAAATGAATCTATAGGGACATTCACCCAGCGGAACCTAATCCTTACATTCTCTGCTGTCTACTTTTCTACCAAATCAGTTCTGGCACTCTGTTTTAGATCTTAAACACGCCTTCTTTAGCATATCCCTTGCTCCAGAATCCCAGTTATCTTTTTTGCTTTGAATGGGAAGACCCCCCAAAACACACAAAACCATGAACTATGCTGCAGAGTCAAGAGTTCATGAGCTCTTCTACCTTATTTGGGGCAGCTCAAAAGCCCTGAAACAGGGAACCACACTCCACTAGGTAGCCGACATTCTATCACCAGCCCCACGGAGGAGACGTCAGATCAGAAGACCAGGATGGTCCTCAACCACTGGGCGAAGAGTTAGGAGGCATCACATGGAAGGCCCAGATCTCCCACCAACCAGTGGTGTACCCAGGATTCCTCAAATTCTATCTCAAAAGACAGGAAGTTGTATGTCAGCTCCCCCAAACCCAAAACCAACTCAAGAGTTTTCTGGGAAAGGCAGGGTCCTTTCAGATGAGGATCCCTAATCGTGGTTTTATAGCTTAGCCTTTACGTGAACAACGAAAAGGGAGAGTGACCCTTGTGCAACTCAACTCATGACAGCTCCAACATTGGCTCTTTGACCCTGAGTGAGTTCCCCACCTCCGTGTCCATGAGAGAACCAGAAGGGGCCCAAAGGCTCGAAGGCTCAGCCCCTCCCTAGGCGGCAGCCTCTTTCTCTAAACAACTAGACTAAGTGACTAGGAGATGGTCACCCTGCCTCTGGGTGGTGGCAGCTACCACCTGCTTTTAAAACTGACCTTTGGATGACCCCTGACTATCTGCAGACCTCACGATACCCTACACAGTACCTTACAAAGGGAAGGGGGAGGGAACAGCTGGCTCCATGCAGGTGACGCTCATCGACAATCCAAGCACAGCTCCCACGGTATGTGTCACTTAACCCTGCTACACTCCTTCCCACAGTGGACAGCGGAGTAGCTTACACTGCCTGGAAGTGTTTGAAGCAGCATATTCTCGCAGGTCAGATCTTAAGAGTGAGCCCCTGGATAACGTAGAACTTGAATGGTTTACAAATGGGAGTAGCTTCAGCAGGGGTGGAAAACAAGAGCAGTTTAAGCAGTGGCCTCTCTAAATGAAACTACAGAGGCAGGCATTTTATCACCAGGAGGCCCTGAACAAAAGGCACTTGACTAAGCACTTATTGCCTTGATGAAGGCGCTGGAACTAGGAAAATAAAAGATTCTTAATGTAATCGTTGATTCCAAGTACACACACTCCATCCTACAAGCACATGGGGCCATGTGAAGAGAGGTACGTTGACCGCTGGAAATAAACAGGTTAAAAACTTCTGAAATCCTTTGTCTTTTAAGAAGTCTAGCCATGTGACAGTGACAAACACTGAAGGTATCAAAGGAAACAATTAACAAATAAGAATTAACCTTCAATCGCTTCTCGGCCTTTTGGCTAAGATCAAGTGTGAAGAATTAATCTTCAGAGAAGTCACTTAGCTTAACAATATTTTGCCCAAATTCCATAATAATTGATAATGAGGTAAAACTACTTTAAATACTGCACAGGAACAAAAGCAATTCCTGTAAGTCCTTTACAAATTAAATTAGAAAATGTATAACTTGCCCATTTGCCCCCTCAAATTCACCATGAGGAATGAACAGGGTTAAAGGAGGAGCTATTTATAAAAAGAGCATCTTCCACCAGCAATACTGAAATCTAACTTGCTGAATATTAATGTTTTATTAGGAGACTGGAATCATGGGGAAATTCAAGTATGCTGGACAAAGTTATCCCAGATAAGCACCTTTTCCCTAATCTGAAAAACATGACAGTGAATAAGTACCCACAAAAAAGGGAAACGAATCGAATCACTCACCGAAAGGCGGGAGGTCCTTCACAGGCACCTTCTTCCGTGAAGGGTACAGGGACACAGCAGGAACCTGCAGTCCTTGGCTGACTTTGTGTGGTGGCGGCTGCGGCTGCGGCTGGGGTTGAGGCTGTGCCTTCTGCTGTGACCCTGCCCTTGGAGCCACCGGGGAGGTCTCGGACTTGACGGGCTTTTTGTCACCAGGATTCTTGGGCACTGGTAATTATTTAAAATCAGAACAAAGAATGTATGATGTCAGAAGCTCTGTAGATGAGAACGTTAGAAAACCGCGAGCGTTTTCCGCCATTACATTACAGAAACTCTTCTGTTGTCTATACGGAGGACAGAAATCAGCGAGTCGCGGGGAGGGACCCTAGTTACAAAAAGTGTTGAGCTTGCCTCAGAAGATGGTTTCACTGCTAAACATCACATTAAAAGTGACAACAGAAAACTGAATAGTTCAGTATGTTATGTCTGTGCATAAGAAACACAGGATAAAAACTGTAACTGGAAAATTGTCAGAAACTATTTTTCAAAAACTATTCAAATTACCTGAAACACAGGCTATGTTTTTATTTAATAAATGCTATTAACACTAATGCATTTGCTATCAAATTCTCCGACGGGATAGAATTATCTATGTAAGCAAATAGCAGTCAACACTACCGGAGTCTTAAGCTGAGTATATAATTCTGTGGCAAACAGACGAAAAATCAAATTAATAGGGCATACAGTATCTTAATGCTCAAAACAACTCAATGCCATGTGTACCTCCTCCATTTAACACATAAGGGAGGTTGGCTTAGTCATGCTGCCAGTAAAAGAAGCAGGATCTGAACTCAGACCACCTGATCCTGAAGACAAGCTCTTCAACACGACACACAGTGCCACAGCAGGATCCTGAGTCAGTCTAATAATTTGAATCTCCTCAAATCATCAACTACATTCAACAGAAGTTATCTTCAAAATCGCAGAGATACTTGCGAATACAAGCAGAGATAAGAAAACTACCCCAACTCTACCCCAGACAAGCGTTCAAAGGCTGAGAACCTACACGCTGGCTGCTGGGGTCCACTGGACAGCGGGGTCACTGCTCCCCGGGGCCTATCGGGTCCGCAGTCTCCCTCTGGGCACCGAGCCATTGCTGGCCCCACCCCGCCACCGCGCAGGACCTGCGTCCCAGCCAGCGGCCGCAGCCCTGCAAGCCAAGACTCACGTGTGTTGGTGGCTGGCTCGCACTGCAGCGACAGTGTCTGCAGACTCTCCTCATCCATCTCCAGCTCCAGATTGGACAGGTACTGCTTCACCTTCCGAGCCATCTGGGCGTCTTCATACAGCTTCTTGGCGTTGAGAAAGGAGCTGCGGCGTACCCGCTTTTTGTGGCCACCTGTCTGAGCCACATCCAGCACCGCTGCGTTGGTGCTGCCTTGGCTGAGAGACCTGCAAGATGAGAGGGCGGACACCTCGTTCTGGCTCGGGGCTGCCCCGCCTGTTGAACAGAGCGGGCTGAGACTTGGACAGACACAGCCTCCGCTCCAAAGGTCACAAGCCTCACTCCAGTTAGTGAACTGCTACAATGCGTTACAGAGTAACCCAGGTTGAAAAGGAAAAAGTACCTAATGTGCATTTAAGTAAACCTTCAGCACGTGCTCTATTTGCAATAGAAAACTCTAGCTTTCACCTCTCTAGAGCACTCAAGGCGGTTCTCTCGTAGAAGCCAGCAAATAATTATATATAAAAGCTCATGCGAGGCCGGCGCCGCGGCTCAGTAGGCTAATCCTCCGCCTAGCGGCGCCGGCACACCGGGTTCTAGTCCCGGTCGGGGCGCCGGATTCTGTCCCGGTTGCCCCTCTTCCAGGCCAGCCCTCTGCTGTGGCCAGGGAGTGCAGTGGAGGATGGCCCAGGTGCTTGGGCCCTGCACCCCATGGGAGACCAGGAAAAGCACCTGGCTCCTGGCTCCTGCCATCGGATCAGCGCGGTGCGCCGGCCGCAGCGCGCCGGCTGCGGCGGCCATTGGAGGGTGAACCAACGGCAAAGGAAGACCTTTCTCTCTGTCTCTCTCTCTTACTGTCCACTCTGCCTGTCAAAAAAATAAAAAAAAAAAAATAAAAAAAAAAAAAAATAAAAAAAAAATAAAAAAAAAGCTCATGCGAGAATACACAGCTATAATCATTAAGGTTTACAAGACTAAATTTATTTCTCCTAAAAAGGATGCTTATATGGGTTAAAATAAAATTAGCTACAATGTTCACGGTTGTTCTTATTCCTTGAGTTGAATGTGGTAAGTTTTTAAATGCATATAGTCAATCTGTTAATAAAAATCATCATGCAAATGTAAATACATACATATGGAAACTACTTAGCACATGAATTGTTAAGAATTATTTTTTTAAAGGATTGGTTTTAACAGAAAGAAAACAGTAGTTAGTTGAGCTGTAAAAAATTTGGTTTTAACACCTGGGGGCACCTTTTATGTCATTTACTTCTCAAACATTTGTGCAATAGTAGCGCCATTGCACCTTTTCTCCCCGTCTAATAGCCTTCCTCCCCTCCCCTCACTTTGGACTTTTCCCGCTTTAGGATATACAAATTATATCGAAATGAAATCTTTCTGCGAGCTCAGAAATACGCCTGGCCGACAGTTCCCCAGAACCATCATCAATCATTTCACAGCTCTCATGGACCATGACTTCAAAAGTGAAAGCTCAAATGGATTACATTTGAAGTCAGTTTGCCATCTGAAATTCAGCTACAGCAAGAGGGTTAAGAAAAAAAATGCCAAGCAACAGAAAATACAGCAGGTAAGAAGATAATGCAATGGGCAGAACAAGAACTGTGCGTGGGTGTGCAAGGTCTCCTCCACTTACCCCAGACTCCGCCATTTCTTCTTCCTGTAAGTGAGAGCCATGGAGATGGAAGCATGGGTGTAGAGAGAGAGAGATCACAAGCTCAGAAAGAGAGGACCAGACTCCGGATAAGCAGTCTAGAAGCCCACAGACATTAACCTGCATAATCACCTCATGCGCACACAACTTCACTAGAAACACTTTTCTGGCTCAAAAGACAAATATGTTTAAATCATTTGGTCTAGAAGGAGACTAATTTCTTCTCCCTTCTCTACAGAATTCATTATTTTCTCCTACACTGACAGCTAACTCGAGGGCGTGGCTACTGAGACAATATTGTTGGGGGATATTTACGTATTGTGGTTCTTATTAACAGTTACGAGATCTAACTCTACAACTCGGGTCCTGAAAAGTAAGAAACAATAGCCAGTGACAAACGTTGGCACAAATGTCTGAAGGACTGACTGATCTTGCCAGCAGTCCACAGTGCGAGTGGGTGCAGAATGAGAGAGCTTGGTGCGGTCCGCGGTGCGTCTGGACAAGCACCGAGATGCCCTCTCCCCTCGCTTCCTGGGAAGCTCTACACTTGGCCTCTCCAACCCACACACGCCACGGAAGGCGACGCACTCACCGAGTCCTGAACATGAGGGCGGGGTCCATGTTCACGGACGCCATGCGGCCCACGTGACGGATCTCCTTTGCGATCATCCTTAGCTTCTCAAAGTTGACCAGCCCGTCGACCTTCGAGTCGTTTCCTGCAACCGGCAGAGAGGACAGTGGGAATCAGGTGGCACTCAGGCTACGCTTCCGCAGGTGAGGACAGAAGTCCTCCTGCTCAAAGTTACCTTCGTGGAGGAACGTGAGGTCCTTCTTGATGACTGGGAACAGAGGGATTATGGGAGGCTGTAGGTTTTGACTGTTGAGCACGTTGCGGTATTTCGCCATGTTTCTGGAGGGATCGAACAGGTCTTGGAGATCTTGAAATAGTTTTTCATATTTATTAGGAAGTTTTTCCCAGGTGGTCCGTAGTCTTGCCACTGGTGCCAGGTTTAGGCCACTGAGAAGGGCAAAAAGAAAAGTGGTATACATGGAAATGATCTCTGATGAGCTGAGGGAAGTGAAACCGTGTACTGTTTGTTTACTGCTGGACAACATCTCTGTGCACATGTTTTATATGCAGAGCGATTCACAGAAGGATGCGTGAGAAGCCACAGGTAACAGCTCTGAGTAACCGGGACGGCGACAGGAGCAGGGCTGCACCAGGGGGTTTCACTCCTCTTCCCTTTCCACCCTCGAGATCTACCATTCCCAAAACCACGACAACGGATGTGCTGTTCCTTGGGCTTCACACACAGAATAGTGCTTGGCTCAGAGCGGGCATTTGATAACACAGACTGAGCAAACACCCTGTGTTAATAAATTAAAGCAAGAGCCACAGCAGCCAAAGAGAACGACCAAACTCCTAGAAAGGAATGAAGCTTAATTTAACAGCCATCCTCGATTTAACTAACTGCTTCCATTTGTATTTTCTTCCAGCTTCAATCTCAGCGGTAAAAAGGGAAGAAAATCAACATTAATTGGGTGTCTGTTCTGGCTGTCTCCTAGAACTTCACACACATTGTATCACTTAATCTTTCGGCAATTCTTTGAGATATTGTTATTTTACAGAGAAGTAAACTGATGTTCAGAGATGCTCAAATAATTTCCCTAAGGTCAGAACTAAAAAGTGGTAGATGCTGACTTTCCGGCCTCCAAATGAGGATAGGAGGAAATTTAAATGAAGGACTAAGATTAGGAGTCAGAGAGAAAGCAGTGTGCATTGTGAGTCAGTTAAAAAGTGCGACATTTAGGAAGTGGGTGTTTGGTCTAGCAGTTAAGACGCAGGCTGGGACACCTACAGCCCAGAGTGAAGAGCCAAGGCTCAAGTCTGGCTGCACTGCCCGTTCTAGCACTCTGCTAACAGATGACCCGGGAGGCAGCAGTGACACCGCTCGAATCGAGTGAACAGAAAGCACTGGATTTGTGTAATTGTGTGGTGTTCCTGGACTGATGCACACCCTCAACCTGTACACTGAGCTGCATCTCAAGACAAAATGCTCTTACCTGATGATGGCAAACATTGAGTTAAAATTCTTGCATTCCCTGCAGTGCAGGGCTATTTTGATGAAATGCTTAATGATCTTCATCCTCTTCAGCTGGTTTGTCTCTCGCAGGATTTCCGATGCCACCCAAAACGTTTCCTGGTTAATGACTTCTTCAAATTGCTTCAGGTTGGCACAGCTGGTTTTCGATTTGAGTTTAAATAAGTCATCTATGTATTCCGTAGGCTCGATGTTGCGGAAGAGTTCGAAATTGCGCATGGAGAGCTGCGTGGCCACTTCGACCGTGCTCAGCTGCAGCAGCGAAATCTGACTCTCTCTCAGCAGCTCCTGGGCATCCTCATCCGAACACAGCGTTTCCGTCTCCATGTTGTTTTTCAGGTAATACCTAAGGAAAACAGACACGTAGTAGGCTGCGAGGCCGGCCAGCAGTCTCTGGTCGTCCTCGGAAGGACGACGCTACTTCTCAGGGCCCGTTCGAGAGACACCGAGCCCAGGGACCCAAGAACTGTTTCCAGCCAAGGAGCACGCACCTGCTGCCTCAGTCACCGCACCACGCAGCTTCCTGTGCGGACGCCGTGACGGCAACACACAGGTCACTCTGCAGCCGCTGCCGTTTCTTTTTCTCCTTTCTCACTTCTAAATTACTTTGGGCTGCTTGCTAACAATGACAGAAAATGACTACAATCTCAGTTGAAATAAAAGACCCTCGGGAAGGAAGCAGCGAAGATCAGACACAAGTCATTATTTTCTGAGAGGGAAGGGAGACTGACTACTGGTAGGTCTAAACTGGATCAGTCCATGCTTGCTTACTTACCCAAATACCTACGAAACCTAAAAAGCTATTTTCCCTCCATCTGAGCCTCTGAATAGAACTATCCCTACTGCAAATTTAACTGGTAAATTTCTGGAATTTCAATGAAAAGCCTATAGGTAAAAATGGTAGGTATTACCCTATTTTTTCGGAACAGGGAACCGAGGCTTCTGAGATTAATGAACAGAGAATGCTAGATGAACTCAAAATGAATGCTGAAAACTCGGAGCTGGGGGCCGGCGCTGTGGTGTAGTGGGTAAAGCCGCCACCTGCCGTGCCAGCATCCCATATGGGCGCCGGTTCAAGTCCTGGCAGCTCCACTTCCGATCCAGCTCTCTGCTGTGGCCTGGGAAAGCAGTAGAGGATGGCCCAAGTCCTTGGCTTTGGAAGAAGAAGCCCCTGGCTCCTGGCTCTGGATCGGCACAGCTCCAGCCGTTGCAGTCAACTGGGGAGTGAACCAGCAGATGGAAGTCCTCTCTCTCCCTGGCTCTCCTTTCTCTGTGTAACTCTGACTTTGAAATGAATAAATAAATCTTTAAAAACAAAACAAAACTCAGAGCTGGTGCTCCTTCCTCTTTGTAAGCAGTTTGCGAAAAACAGCTACCGGAAGGTTGCCCTGTGATTTATTTGGGTAGGGAGGACTGGGGAGACAGCCAGAGGTACACAGATGTGTTCTCTCAGCCAAACTCTATAAATGAAGACATAGAATGAGCACAGTCAGAGTTCTGCTCAAGCGACCAGAAAACAAACACCTCGAGTCCCTAACATCCATAGACTTTATGTTTTCCACTTTGATTACCATGAAGCCACAATATGGATTCGTCTACTATTTTTCTGAAAAATGAAATCTGAATAATGGATCCTGCAACCCACTGAGATTTGTAGAAACCCATCATAGTCACAGATGCCAATGGACATTCAAATGCTAACTGGGAAGAACTGACCTCCTAAAACAAAACCATCTGCTACTGTTGGTGTTGGAAGTAAAAGTGGAGGAGATAAGAAAGTTATAGTTGATAGGAAGAAAACAGAACTTATGAATGAATTAAATCATAGTTTAGATCTATAACATGAAGAGGTCAAGTACAATGAAACAGTCTAAAGGGTAAGAAAATATAAAAAATGTCATTTATGGAACTATTAACTTTCCATCAGTGTAGAATCTAGTCATTATACAGGATCTAAATTTTACTACCTTTTTAAATTTTCATTTATTTTTGACTAGAGGGTGATACTCCACATATTTAACTATGGAAATATCATTCAAGAGAATGACAAAGTCAGGTTCAATGTTTTCTTGCAAGTAACATGTATGAGGCAGGCTCCTACATGGCAAGGCCTCAAGCTCTGTGGCAAGTATGGTTTGGTCCAGAGTTAAGATATGTTTTTCACAGTGGAATAGGCAACACTTGGCAATATGAGCTGGCCATGCTGTCACAGTTAGCTCTGCCTAAACCAATGAAGCCCCTAGAAGGAAGGATGCAGGAGCCAATGACACTAGAACTTTACTAGAAAATGTGTTTGTGAATGTACAAGTGACCCTTCAAAAGCTCATGGAAAACAGTACTATGAAAAAAAAACTATGTATGGATAGCAAACGTTTTTGCACCAGATAAACACCTTCTCATTCCATTTCCCCATGAATTTTTGAAGTGCCCGTGGAGAGGCCCACGGAGAGGACATCAGGATTCACTGATTCTGAAGCCTGATTCTGCTCCCACTCTCCGCCCAGCGCTCTGCCTACACGGCAAACGTGAGAAGTCGCCGTGTGGACACTGCCAGTCGACAGCAACAGTCAGGTCGTGGTGGCCTTGAGCAAGCTCTTGGGGAGTCCCTGTGAAGGTCAACAGACTGTACTGTGCTTTCACTGTGCCACAGCAATTCTTGGTGAGGAAAGAAAACACCTTTTCTTTTTAATGTGCAGGGGCACTTACTGATTCAATAAACTCCTTGAAAGTGCTCGTCTTTGAAGACTCGGACGTGGGTTTAAGGAAATGGAGTAAAATAGATATCGCGTACCTTCCACTCAGTTGTATTCTATCGGCAAGTTTGGAAAGCTGATCTGGAAGTCGTCTTTGCTTGATGACTCCCTCAGGAGTGACAGAGACCTCACACAGCGAATACTGATCCGGGGTGGCAGTGACCGCGAACTCCCGGATAGCCTGCACGACCACTTCCTTCGCTGTGGTGTCCTTGCTGATCATGATGTATCGGCTCTGCTGATCAGCCTTGAAAACTCTTAGCACCTGATCTGGCAAGTCTGGGGGAAAGAAAAGCCACACTTCAGTGCAAACCCTTTTCATGTCTGGCAATGCAACTAAGCAAAGTTAATCTGCAAAGAAAAATCGTCCTAGCAAAGGTGATGCTGAGCTTTCATCACCTCCCCCTCTTCAAAGAGTCCATCAGTCAACACCTGGTAGGCGGCAAGAACACATTTTCCCTGTGGACAAAGGAATGATCTACAGACAACACAACAACTGTACCATGTACTGATGTGTTGTGTATAACCTACAGACAATACAACACATTAGTAAACACACATTAGCACACAATAGCAGCACAAAGAAAACATTTAAATTTAAACTTGACCTTTATTGTTGTGAAAAGTCCATTAAGCTGACATACAGTATGCCTCTGCTCTATTTATCTGATATAACGTAGTAATAACTGCATGGTGTGTTATTTTATGGAAAGGGAAACAAGATCAGAGAGATTTATTTGCTCACAACCATCTTAAAATAGTTTGAAAAATATAAAAAGAGCTAGTTACAACTGTTTGAAGCTTAAGGTTCATCTTGTCTTTGAGTAGCTGATATAGCCCACATCAAACCGAGACCCATAACACACAGCATGGCTGTGTTAGAAGGACAAGGATTACTGCCAGAAAACAAAGGAAATGGTGGTGGTGCTCACCAGGAGTGGTGCTGAAGTCTAAAATGCGATGATGTGACTGCAGTAAGTCAGGATTGCTGGATGACAAGGTTCCACTGACAGGCAGCGCAGTCGGGATGTGCTTTGTCTGCCTTAATCCTACAATGCTGTCGTCTTGGGACTGGCCAATCCCAATGTCACTGAACAGAGAAGAAAATGGGAGAATAACCAACAAATTTACAAGTTATAAAAACTATCAATATATAAAAGACCACAAGTATATTTCTGCTACAAATGGATTCAAGAAAAAGCACATTAGAAAGAATGCCTTTAGTCTCAGCCAACCAACGGTTCTGCAGCAGAACAATAAACTGTTTTTACACTCTGATCTACAAGAACGAGAGAAACTGAATGAGGCATATACCACTGCGGCATAGTGGGTAAAGCCACTGCCTGCGGTGCTGGCATCCTATATGGGGGCCAGGTCAAGACCCGGCTGCTCCGCTTCTGATCCGGCTCTCTGCTATGGCCTGGGAAAGCAGTAGAAGATGGCCCAAGTCCTTGGGCCCCTGCACCCATGCGGGAGACCCGGAAGAAGCTCCTGGCTTCGGATTAGTGCAGCCCGGCCACTGCATCCATCTGGGGAGTGAACCAGTGAATGGAAGACCTCTCTCTCTCTCTGCATAACTCTGACTTTCAAATAAAAATAAATAAATCTTAAAAAAAAAAAAACCTGAATAAAATGAATAGAGGAGAAGAAAACTGAGCTGCCCTAATTTTATTCCCCGATGTTTTAGAGAGAAAAAATGAGATCACTCTGGAGTCCAATGTAAGGCCCTGACACAGACTTTGTTTCTTAATTATACAGAGCGTGAAAAGCGGTGGTGCATGGTGACACTTCCTAGCATCAAAGAAAAGGCACCGGAAATCGAATGACTCATTTCTACTTTTAAAGTTCCACTCAGAATTTAATGTTACAATTTAAGTTCCCAGAGAAATACTGGTTATTACTGATAGCCACAAACTTATTTCCATTTGTAAAAAGTCTGTCCCTGTGGATACTCTTGAAACATGACTTCGTAACATATAAAAATTATCTCTCGACATGAAGCCTCAAGTGTTCCCACAGCAGAACAAGTGGAAGGGTGAGCATGCAGACACAGTGATAAGTACATCACGGTAGAGCCTATTCCTCTGAATAGTTTCTGCAAAGACTGTCAAATAGACATAAAACTAAAGTGTCATAAATAAAATTAAGACATATCTTTTAATAAGTTTTCAGCCATTAGGATTTGATCATCATACCTCCAATTTTTAAGTTAGGCTTAAAAAATCTAAAATCTAGCACTAGTTCTTCTCTGTTTCTGGGGAGAAATGGAAATTACAGAGGTAAATAACTAAGGATGATTACCTCCTTTTAAAGTCAAGACAAAAATTAAACTTAGAGGTGGTTTTGGTGTAAAGTCTTCTAATCCATAGTTAAATCCAGGACAAAATTAAATTTCTATTTAAAAACATAAATACATTCACAGGAAAGTTAAAAGTTTTAATTCTCTGTGAATGATTAATATGTTCTCTTGGCCAGCACCGTAGCTCACTAGGCTAATCCTCCGCCTTGCGGCGCCGGCACACCGGGTTCTAGTCCCGGTCGGGGCGCCGGATTCTGTCCCAGTTGCCCCTCTTCCAGTCCAGCTCTGCTGTGGCCTGGGAGGGCAGTGGAGGATGGCCCAAGTGCTTGGTCCCTGCACCCGCATGGGAGACCAGAAGGAAGCACCTGGCTCCTGCCTTCGGATCGGCACAGCGCACTGGCCACAACGTGCAGGCCGTAGCGGCCATTTGGTGGGTGAACCAACGGAAAAAGGAAGACCTTTCTTTCTGTTTCTCTCAGTCTAACTCTGCCTGTCAAAAAAAAAAAAAAAAAAAAAAAAAAAAGTTCTCATTGGCAGAATTTGTCTGTTTCAATATATAAGTATTTTTTTGAAGATTTTTGAAGATAGCTGATGAGACCAATCAGTGACAAGCAGCTATAATCTACAGTACACTCCAGGCACAGCCCCAGAGAACTGCCTTCTCAAGGGATGTGTCTCGGCAACACTTTAACACCTCATATGATGATCAACCTTTTCAGTCCCACAGGGTAGTCAGGATCCAGGAGCTAGGAGCTCCACCTGGGTCTCCCGCTTGGGTCCGGGAATTTGAGAAGCAGAGAGCTGAGAGAGACAGAGAGACAAGAGAGTAAGACCAGGACCAGGGCAGACTGAAGCAGGGAGGTAGAATTCAGTCCAGATGTCCCATCGGAGTGGCAGGAACCCAACTCCTTAGCCATCACTGCTGCCCCCCGGGTCTGCATTAGCAGGAAACTGGAATCAGGAGCCAGAAGCAGGTATTGAACCCAGTTACTCTCATACAGCTCATGGACATCTCAAACATTAGGCTAAATGCCTGTCCCTCCTACAGCTTCTTGACTGCCCCCTATTGTTTTTCTCCCACAGATATGAGGATAACTTGGAGTAACACTCATATTCACGACAGTACATAAACACCTTTCTCTGATAACACTTTTTTACTGTTGAACCTCTCCAACTCTGATTGTTACTGAAACTAGCTTTTAATCTTGGCTGATTATATAGTTGACTGACTTACTTCTAATCTCTGGGATCAATCCAATTTTTTCTCTCTACTTACTACACTTGAATTCAGTAATTCTCATGCCCCACCCGCCTCTTTCCCCTCTATGCAAACCATTCTACTGTGCGGGACCTTGTCAATTTGTCACCATCCAACATCCTAGCTTCTATGAGACTGAGAATGTCTGATGGCAAAAACAAAAAAGTGTATTAAATCTAGAATCTTTACAAATACCTATTGATATCTAGAAAAGTTTTAGTAGCTTCTATCAAATAAAGTCTGTATATTATAGAACTACAGTTTTGTAAACCTTCTTTAAACGCAATATTTTCATTTTAATTGCATACATATATAAAAGTATTTCAAATAATTCTCATAAGAAAATATTTAAGCCATATTTTCTTAAATCTTCATACAAATTATTTAAGATGTTTCCCCAGTGTTTTAAAATCAACACATCTAATTATGTTTTGTTTCCCTCGTCTAACTTGAATATCTTTATAAATACACATAGAACAGAATTATGCATAGTATTCTCACACTGCAGTCCTTGCCAACATCCTGTACTGTGGATGGATTACATCCCAGTTCTTACATGTGACATTTCTATTAATACTTGGCAGGGTCATGGTGACTTTTGCTTGATTTTTTTTAAGATTCATATTTAACTCATGGTCAAATATGACTCTATTTTTTGTATTATGCTGCTAATAATTCCTCATTTAGCTACTTTTTTTTTACTCATTTAAAAATAAGTTTTTCTTTGAGAAGGGCTACTTTACAAGTCAATTCCTATTTTCTGTAAATGTCAGCTGTCCCTAATGCATTGTCTCTTAGAAACTTGCTCAATATAAACATACTTTCAAGACTTTATTTATATTTTATTTTATTTATAATCATCAAACATATTGCTTAGCCTTAGGATCTGAAGTCTTTTTTGGAGAACATGAAACCACCAATCATTGCTATACAGTTTTCAGTGGACAACACAAGTTAGACACTCAACCCATCAATAATATATCTTAATTCCTATCTTTCTAGTCTGGGTGAAATGTTATCTGAAATGCAATTAAAAATAAATGCTTTGTTTCATCCTAAAATCTACTGCTTCTCTTTAGACTCATTAAATGATCAGAAAAAGCATAAATCTGTATGTTTGCTAAAGCCTGAGGAATCCATAATGCACATGGCATGTCCTGTTACTTAACATTCAAAATAATGGATGATAGTAATGGTGTTTCATAAAGCAACTCTAAAGTAAAGAAGAAGCTAAAATGAAGACATAAACCAGTAAACAACCAAAGCTAAAAAGCTAACCTTAACTAGTCTGAGTTCCTGGCTTAAATGCACAACCAAGAAGAAAGTCAAGAATACACTGACTTTCTTACTGTAGAGTTGGCTAGGAACAGAACAATACACAGGTGTCTGCATGGTTGTTGTCTTTGACAGTAGTTAAAGCATTGAAAACAGAAGAGGAAGTAGGGAAAGAGAATGGCAGGGATGGACAGCAATGACTGAAAGAGGCTGTGATTTGGCTGATCAAGAGCAGACGCAGGTGGAAGAGAAGAGACCCAGAAAGAAAGATACAACAGCCAAAAATCAATTATGGAGGAGACACACTTTGAAGAAGTCTAAACAGGAGAAATATAGTTCAAATGAACAAGTGTTTTACCATCTCTAATAAAGATTAGGAGTGGACAAATAAGTGGCAAAAACAGAATGAAAACAAACTTGATGGTCCAACACTGATTCTAAGACAGCTCATCCATGAAACCTTAAAACATTCATCAAACTCAAGTGCAAGTATTAATCCTAGCACTACCCCTGCATATCATTTTAACACCAATAAACAACACAGAAAATTTGCACAGGCACTTACTTATATGGTTTCTGTGGCAAGATACTTATCCGAGTCTTGTCAAGTATTTTTTTTAGCTTGTTCCTTCCTCCAACAGTGTTTGCTTTACTTTTTTTGTTGACTTTCTCAAGGCCTATCACCTGTTCCACATCTACAGCGAGATCGGGAATGGAGTAGCGGCTGGCCTTCTTGATGTCTCCAATTTTAGGAAGGTGAGGGGCACCATTTCTTTTCTCTTCCGACAATCTTGTTAGAAGTTCTTTAAATACTAAAAACATGGAAACAGAAACACCAACTATAAAAAATCTGAATAATTTCAAGGCAACTGTAGAATTTGGAAATATATGAGAAACACAGACTTCTATCAAAACTACAGTCCTGTAGAAATATATTACTCCAATACCTAAATGACATCAAGAAATTGCTTTGTGTGTTGCTCGGTCACAACAAGCTTACAGTACTGCACTCTCTAATCTACAGGCATTTTAGCATTTATCAATGAAAGAAAAATTTCATATACTAATAAAGATAGATCATAAACATAATATTTATGGTCTTCAAATCAGTAGATTTTGGTTTAGATCTAGTCACACACTTATGTAATTAATTCTGTATTTATAGATTTCACTTTAAATACTTCGATTCTTATGATGTCTGAAATACGACTTAGAAAAAGGACTCCCTTCATGATTAAAGACCTGCATGTACGAATTTAAAAAGAAAAGACCAAAAGGAAAAAGATGAAAAGATGCAAAAATACTTACCAAATAAATTGGTTTTCACAGTGATAGATAAGTGTGTGTTATTTCTAAGAATTTCCATGGCTTTTGACAGCTGAATATTTTCAAAGTTTTGGCCGTTTACTTCTAATATCTAAGAATGAAATTATAAAATTAATGACAGTATCGTTTCGTCTGACAGAAGAAAAGACAGACAATAAAAACTCCCCCATAAACCTGGATTTAGGAATAGCTTACCTGATCCCCACGTTTCAAGCCTGCTTCAGTTGCTTTGCTACCTGAATCTACACTGTCAACAAAGATTCCGAATCCCTTCTCAGAGCCTCCGAGTAAGATAAAAGGCAAAGGAGCTTCGCGGGACGGTTTTGTTAACGTCATCAATCTTCTTTTTGCTTTAGCTGCACATGCGATATTTAGCAGCCTGAGATGCCCACCCATTTTCTGTAGAGTTCAGAAAGAGTGGTGTCAATTCAAAAGCGGGCTGACTAAAATGAAGGTAAACTTGATTTCTTATGAAAAACAAAAATCACAAATATTACCTCCCTTTCCAGGTTGTTTTCAAATTCTTCTAGAAATCGAGTCATTGCCGGGTCTCCTTCAAAGTCATTGAAGTGATTATTTACCCACAATAAAACTACCCGTGTAACCTGAAAACAAATTACTTTCAGTAAGTTTTCTCCTTCATAGTGCTAACAACCTGTGAATGCAGTCACTTCAACAAAGATATCTAACTTTCTATGATTTACCTAATAATATTGAAGAAAAAAAAGCAGCAATAAAACCTTCAATAAGAATTTATTCATATTAAAAATTAAAATAGTCATTTTAAAAGGGACTTATTTTTTTTAAAAGGCAGAGTTACAGAGAGAGAAATAGAAAATACTCATATTTTGAATGTAGACTTTATGTTGCTTTGCTAGGAGCAGTCATAAAATTGTGAAGATATTTACATCTTGATTTAAGTTCAAAACATATTAAGAAAAAACAAGTACAAGGTTGACATAAAAGAAGACAGAAACCAAAGAATAAAGGTAGACGGACTAGACAAAGAGAATGAGCAGTATAAACCTAGAACGACCTGCAATGGGAACAGGTCATCTGAGAAAGAGGATTAGAATGAACAACATAGTCATCCAATCTGGACTTGATGGAACCCTCCAGACGTCATGGGGTCCTACAGCCCGCGAGCACGGTCATGCAGTGCTGCTCTGATCAAAGTGCTGAAAGTCTCACTTTAATCTAGCTTACCCCACCAAACTGGAGCATGCAGACTACCAGGGGTTCCAGATAGTTGGTTCCCAAGGATTCCAGATGTCTGGGTATGCTTAAACATGATCCCAACAGAACCAAAGTTTAAACATTTGACACTGAACGTATTTGCATTTCAAGAAAAAAAATCTCTTGGGGCGAACATAGAAATCTATATACAAAAGTAATATTTGTATCACCTTATCTTCTTTTGGCTTAAAACATACATTCTCCTATTCCATTAAATCAATCTGAACATAACAGCTATGACAAAAACATACATTAATTTTAAGTTTGTATTTCAGTATTCCATACCTAAGAATCAAAAAGGAATATTATTTCTAACCTTATCCCTGAGGCTCGGGTCATTAAACCACTCCAATAACTTTTTGCCCACTTCCATTGGGCTGGAGAGAAAAGTCCTATAGGTCAACAGGAAGTCTTCTATGAATGTTGGATCCACTACCGAGTGTTCTTCCACCAAGTGCATTGTTAGCCGTTCTGAGGTGCCCTGGAAATAAAAGGTTTAATTATCACCCTGAACAAATAACACATACATGGCTACCTTAATTTCAAACCTTCAGCATAAACTGGGTAGTAACACAGATAATAACTAATAACGTGTAATTCATCCAGAAACATTTTTTGCAATTGATAACCGTTAATAGGAAAAAAAAATCCTCTTAAAAATAAAACTTTTAAATATGCTTAAAAATGAAGCACACAAAATTGTCATAACTGGCGCTAGCAGACTCCCTTTCTGTGAAGGGAGGAGAGGCGGTTCTTCGTCTCACCTTGATAACGATGTGTCCCTTTCTTGTGCCAGTTCGATCCAGTTCTCGGTGTTCTTTCACCATAACAATCTCTCCTTCTTCTTCGACTTTTTGCATGTTCTTTTCTACCTGGTTGAGAATTCGGCAGTAATCTTGCTGGGCTATGCAGACAAACTGGAATAAAACATAAGTCACGTGTTAATGATAAAGCGCCTGAGAAAGTCCTAGCAGTACTAATAACTCAGTGTGTTAATTATTTAATACAGACATTTTTCTTTGTCTCCCATACTTTCTAAATTAATGCAGTAATGGCCCTTAATCAAGCATCTCTACTTTTAATGTATTTTTTCCTTGATCAAGAAGTTTCATTTTTGGAATACTTATACGTAATTTACATTCAAAATCCTAACAATTTTATCTAGAACTCCATCAGGGTCCTCCTGAGTGGCAGGACCCAAGGCCAGAGCCATCGTCTGCTGCCTCCTAGGGATCAACAGTGGAGCTGGGACTTGAGAGAGAGCGAGGTAAACCAAGTGCCGTTGTTATGGCTGTGCCAAACAACCACCCTTTTAAGATTTAAAAAAAAAAAAAAAAATTTAAAAATAGGAATAGTTCTAATGAAAATATATGTTGAAAGATATTCATGGAGTGCTTAAATTTGCTAATTATACTGATGAGAAGCCATTTTATAAAGGCTATTCAAAAAGGTCACAAAACAAGCCATAAATTTGTTGTAGGTCAAACCATTATTCCTGGGCCCGGCGCTGTGGCATAGCAGGAGGGGCCACCGCGTGCAGTGCTGGCATCCCACATGAGTGCCAGTTCGAGTCCTGGCTGCTCCACTTCTGATCTGGCTCTCTGCTATGGCCTGGGAAAGCAATGCAGGATGGCCCAAGTCCTTGGGCCCCTGCACCCGCGTGGGAGACCCGGAGGGGGCTCCTGGCTTCAGATTGGCGCAGCTCCGGCCATTGCAGCCAGTTGGGGAGTGAACCAGCAGAAGGAAGACCTCTCTCTCTCTCTCTCTCTCTGCCTCTCCTTCTTTCTCTGTGTAACTCTTTCAAATAAATAAATGAATAAATCTTAAAAAACATTATTCCTTATAACTGGTAGTAATAAAGATAAGCTTCATTTTTAAAGAATAAGTTTATATTAAGCATATACCAAGTACTTGCTTCTCCATGACTCCAAATACAAAAAAAATTTAGGACTTGGGGTCAACCACATAAGTAATCATGTCTCTTAGTAGTTTTAAAGAAATTGAAGAATGAATTGACTTATTACACAAGTGAGCCAGAGACCAGTGGGGAAACAAGAGCAGATGCTTGGACACATAAACACCACTGTCTTTTTAAAAGTTTAATAATTTATTCTGATGTAAGAAGTCACTTGAAAGTGGGCAAAAGCATGGCATTTCTCTTCCCCTTAGAGCAAAGATGAAAAATAAGGCGGTTAAATTATACTGCATATAAGATAAAACAGGACGCAATCATCCAGAATTATGTTTTCATAGGACATTTAGAGCCCTGGCCTACTGCTCATGATTGCATCAAGTGTTTCAGAAGATACAGTGCAATACTATCAAGATTTTATTTCATTTTACTTTATTTATCTGAAAGGCAGAGTTAGAGGAGGAGAGACAGAGAGACAGATCTTCCATACGCCGGTTCACTCTCCAAACGGCTGGGCCAGGCCGAAGCCAGGAGACTGGAGCTTCCTCTGGGAAGGGGCCCAAGGACGGGGGCCGCCTTCCGCTGCTTTCCCAGGCACGTTAGCAAGGAGCCAGGTAAAGAAGCTGGAGCAGCTGGGTCTCAACCCAGAGCCTGTATGGGATGCCGGTGCTATGGCCGGGGGCTTAACATGCCTGCGGCAACGCAGACCGCCATGCCCACTGCGGTAGCAATGAAAGCATGGTTATCATCAGCACCAGTCATGTGACCTTACAGCTGCTCTCTCCATTCATCCCCCTCATCACCCCACAAAGGCAGTGCTGTTGGCCCTAATGGGCACATGGAGAGACAGTGCTAGCTTCAGATCACATGATCACACTCACATGCACATCTTCATCTCGATGGGAAATGTAAGCAAATGTTAATCATTATTTCTGAACAACATGAAGTCCAAGTGACTTCATATTTACTATACTTGTCTATATTTTCAATATTTTCAGCAAAATTAATGTTTTTTGAAGTAGCACCAGATATTCACGAGACAAGCAGCATATTGCACTATCAAGGTTCTCCCACTATGTTGGCTAACATTACTTCATTAATTTTTCTATTAAGTGTTTAGAACCTAAAAGTTAAAAATTCAAAAACTAGAGACTTTTCTTGTACAAGTAATAGTGCACAGTTTAATTAAATTTTTAAAAATATTGGGGCTGGCATTATGGTGTAGCGGGTAAAGCCGCAGCCTGCAGTGCTGGCATCCCATATGGGTGCTGCTTAGAGTCCTGCTGCTCCACTTCCGATCCAGCTCTCTGCTGTGACCTGGGAAAGCAGTAGAAGATGGCCCAAGTCCTTGAGCCCCTGCACCCACGTGGGAGACCTGGAGGAAGCTCCTGGCTCCTGGCTTCAGGTCTCCTCAGCTCTGGGCTATTGCGGCCATTTGGGGACTGAACTAGCAAATGAAAGATCTTTCTTTCTCTCCGTCTCTCCCTCTCTGTCTATAACTATGCCTCTCAAGTAAATAAATAAATCTTAAAAAAAAATTTCAAACCTTGAGCACACCATGAGACTCCAACCAAAAGAGACTCCCAAATCTAATCTGTTCACCACCAGGTTTTTAGGCTTAAAGTGAGCTTGATCATACAACACATGATATGATATTCATTATGGAACCCATTGCAGTGTAAGATAACTCTAGGAAAAACTGCTTTTGCTTGGTAAAGATACTATCACATTTGCTCATTTCATTCAATAACTGCTGATCCCCTACAACATGGTCCAGAGAAAAACAGAAACTTCTGGAGCCTGTCTTACGGGTGAATAAAAATAGTTATATTTTATATTTATATTTCCAAGAGGAAGATCTAACATTTTTATTTTCTGACAGACATACAGTAAAATGCTGTCCCAAACAAGCCCTTACATTAAAATGTCTGAATTCATTGTCCATCAGTGTTGCAGTGGCCTGAGCAGGTGGGCTGGGGGAAGCACTGATTGAACGCTCCTTTTACCCAGCTTGGAGTGCAGCAGACAGGAAGAGAGTGCCTTGCCCCAGCAGGGGCCTCACCCGTGAACCCCTTCTCCCTGCTGGGGGCTTCACATCAGGGGTACGGGAACCTATGTGTCTCTTCATTTGAATTGGACTCCACCTTGCTGACTGCCACTCTGGGTCTCCCGCCTGTCCGTTGTTCTATAAAGATTAAACGCTTTCCCTGCACTGCCCCTGCCTTCTCTTCCCTTCCCAGAATTCCTAGATAAACAACGTTACCCGGTACTTCTAACGTGACTTAAGCACTCTAATATTCAGTGAGATCAGTTTCATCAATTGTTCTGAAACATTTATATGCTCCCCATGCCATTTCAGTCCCATGATAAAAAGTTCTAACTAAAGGAGTCTGGCCAACTAATGGATGTTAAGGTAACAATGAAATTCTCAAAAAGGAGTAACTTTTATTTGTTCCTTAAAGGACAGAGGCCCCCAGCTCAAATGCTAGTGAAATCGCAACACTGCAGAGGCAGTTACAGAGCACCTGCTGAGACAGGGAAAGATGGAGAGAGGGAGAGAGGGAGAGAAAGACAGAGAGGGAGAGAGGGAGAGAGGGAGAGAGGGAGAGGGAGAGAGGGAAAGAGGGAGAGAGAGAAACAGGGAGAGAGGGAGAGTGGGAGAGAGAGACAGAGAAACAGGGAGAGGGGGAGAGGGGGAGAGAGAGGGGGGGGGGAAGAGAAACAGGGAGAGAGGGGAGAGCAGGAGAGAGAAACAGGGAGAGAGGGAGAGGGGGGAGAGGGAGAGACGGTGAGAGAGGGAGATGTGTTGAGGGGAGAGGGGGGGTGAGGGAGAGAGAAAAAGAGAAAAAAGAAAAGGGAGAGTGGAGAGTGGGAGGGTGGAGAAAACATTAAAAAAAGGATGAGTGAGAAGGGGCGAAAGTGAGGAAGGGGGGTGGAAACATGGGAAGAAGGGTAAAGAGGGAGTAGTACAACGTTTTTTGACTTTCTTTTTTTTTCATTGTCTTTCTTGTGGTTTACCCCTTTTTGGGGGCCCA